TACATTATTATAAGTTGTATCAAGGCCTAAAAATGCTCAAATTAAAATGTTGATTTTGGGGCCAATTTTGGCCCAAGAACTCAGGGTTGGTGTGCTGTTTCTATGGGGAATATAGGGTTGTGGGACATAATACTGTGGGAATGTAGGTGTAAGAGGGTTAAGAGGTAGCATTTAGTCTGTATCAAGACTTTTGAGAGTCCCCAATAGTTGCTCAGACTGTGACCCCGAGTATTGCAGGTAGACTTACACCAGGATGGCCGAGCGGTTAAGGCGTTGGACTCAAGATCCAATGGACAAAAGTCCTCGTGGGTTCAAACCCCACTCCTGGTAAAGCAAACTTTCATCTTAGTCATGTTCAATCATTAGCAAATAATCTTCACCCAAACTTACAGCCTTACATTGCAAGTATTACGCTTGTCCATTGCTAAATTGATGCACGCCAAGGAGAGCTGCTAAATCTTTTGAAAGATAAAGGCCAACATATCTCAAGAGGTAGCATTTATTCTGTATCAAGACTCTTGAGAGTCAGCCGTAGTTGCTGTGACCGTGACCCCGAGTTTTCCTGTTGGCCATACACCGGGATGGCCGAGTGGTTAAGGCGTTGGACTTAAGTTCCAATGGACAAAAGTCCTCGTGGGTTTAAACCCCACTCCTGGTAAATGGTTAGCTTTAGCGGAGTTATGCTTAAACATAAGCAAATAATCTTCACCAAAACTTACTACCATGTCATGGCTAGCATAAAGAACATCCATATGTCCATTCCTTAATGGATTCAAGCCAAGAATGTACTTTACAATTTTTGACAGATAAAGGCCAGCATATCTCAAGAGGTAACATTTATTCTGTATAGAGAGTCAGCAGAAATTGCTGAGACTGTGACCCTCTGGTCTTCCATTTAGACCAACACCAGGATGGCCGAGTGGTTAAGGCGTTGGACGTAGGTTCCAATGGATTAAAGTCCTCGTGGGTTCAAACCCCACTCCTGGTAAATAAGAAGCATTAGCTGAGTAATGTTCAAACAAATGCAGATATTCTGAACCAAATCTTACAGGCATGTAAGTTGTGTTCAAATATTTGCAAAATCTCTTCTCCAAACCTTATAGGCATTTCACGGCAACCATAATGCACACCCATATGACCATTCCTTAATGAATACAAGCCAAGAATGTACTGTGCAGTTTTTGACAGATAAAGGTGGACCTATCTTAACCCTCTTACCCCGTATGGCTTAAAAACCGGCTTGCCTGTCTTTGATCTATTCCCGTAAGGACGACATACCGGCTTGGTCGTCTATGGCAAATCCCCGTAAGACAGACATAGTGGCTTTACAGTGTAAACGTTATCCCCGTAAAGCCGGTATACCGGCATTACTCTGCTATGATTCCTTACTTATTTAATTATTATTTTTTGTCCAGAAGGTTGATGACGTCATGACGTCACGACGTGATTACGTTATTACGCCGTCATTACGATGAAGATGATCCAAGCGTGAATATTGGGGTAATAGTAGAAGTGAACTAAAAATGCCAAAACGAAAAGCTAATCGTGTTCCAGCTAAAGTTACACCTACAGTGGACACAGGTACATCTAAAACAATGAAAAAAACATAGGCGAGAGCAAGGATTCTAGATCGAGACCGCAGTAAGGTAATGTAAGGCTGTAAGTTTGGGTGAAGATTATTTGCTAATGATTGAACATGACTCAGTTACAATGGACAAAAGTCACACAGTTGACACAGGTACATCTAAAACAGTGAAAAAAAGACAACCAGTTACACAGGTGAGAGCAAGGATTCTAGATCGAGACCGCAGTGAAAGTTCAGGCGATGTTGAAATCGAAACTGATAGTGACCCAAACTCTCCTGATTTAGACCCTGATCCATCTTCATCTTCAGCATCAACCAGTGCGACTGACACTGCAGGGCTTTTGGAGTCACAACGGGACCATTTCTGTGCGCTCGTGAAAACAGTACCTGCTGGTCTGATTACCACCAGAAACTTGACTTTTGGCGCTAAAATGCATTTATTTATTTATTTATTATGTACTTGAATTTATTCAAAGGCATTGACCACGCTGATGCTCGTATGGTACTTCTTAATGAGTATAAGGATTTTAGCGAGCATTTTTCGTCATTTCTCTAGTTAAGAAATGTGCTCTAAGTTTAGTAAAAACACTGAACTTGCGTCATTTTCAAAGCAATATTACACATATACATTATTATAAGTTGTTTCAAGGCCTAAAAATGCTCAAATTAAAATGTTGATTTTGGGGCCAATTTTGGCCCAAGAACTCAGGGTTGGTGTGCTGTTTCTATGGGGAATATAGGGTTGTGGGACATAATACTGTGGGAATGTAGGTGTAAGAGGGTTAAGAGGTAGCATTTAGTCTGTATCAAGACTTTTGAGAGTCCCCAATAGTTGCTCAGACTGTGACCCCGAGTATTGCAGGTAGACTTACACCAGGATGGCCGAGCGGTTAAGGCGTTGGACTCAAGATCCAATGGACAAAAGTCCTCGTGGGTTCAAACCCCACTCCTGGTAAAGCAAACTTTCATCTTAGTCATGTTCAATCATTAGCAAATAATCTTCACCCAAACTTACAGCCTTACATTGCAAGTATTACGCTTGTCCATTGCTAAATTGATGCACGCCAAGGAGAGCTGCTAAATCTTTTGAAAGATAAAGGCCAACATATCTCAAGAGGTAGCATTTATTCTGTATCAAGACTCTTGAGAGTCAGCCGTAGTTGCTGTGACCGTGACCCCGAGTTTTCCTGTTGGCCATACACCGGGATGGCCGGTGTGGTTACACGCGTTGGACTTAAGTTCCAATGGACAAAAGTCCTCGTGGGTTTAAACCCCACTCCTGGTAAATGGTTAGCTTTAGCGGAGTTATGCTTAAACATAAGCAAATAATCTTCACCAAAACTTACTACCATGTCATGGCTAGCATAAAGAACATCCATATGTCCATTCCTTAATGGATTCAAGCCAAGAATGTACTTTACAATTTTTGACAGATAAAGGCCAGCATATCTCAAGAGGTAACATTTATTCTGTATCGAGAGTCAGCAGAAGTTGCTGAGACTGTGACCCTCTGGTCTTCCATTTAGACCAACACCAGGATGGCCGAGTGGTTAAGGCGTTGGACGTAGGTTCCAATGGATTAAAGTCCTCGTGGGTTCAAACCCCACTCCTGGTAAATAAGAAGCATTAGCTGAGTAATGTTCAAACAAATGCAGATATTCTGAACCAAATCTTACAGGCATGTAAGTTGTGTTCAAATATTTGCAAAATCTCTTCTCCAAACCTTATAGGCATTTCACGGCAACCATAATGCACACCCATATGACCATTCCTTAATGAATACAAGCCAAGAATGTACTGTGCAGTTTTTGACAGATAAAGGTGGACCTATCTTAACCCTCTTACCCCGTATGGCTTAAAAACCGGCTTGCCTGTCTTTGATCTATTCCCGTAAGGACGACATACCGGCTTGGTCGTCTATGGCAAATCCCCGTAAGACAGACATAGTGGCTTTACAGTGTAAACGTTATCCCCGTAAAGCCGGTATACCGGCATTACTCTGCTATGATTCCTTACTTATTTAATTATTATTTTTTGTCCAGAAGGTTGATGACGTCATGACGTCACGACGTGATTACGTTATTACGCCGTCATTACGATGAAGATGATCCAAGCGTGAATATTGGGGTAATAGTAGAAGTGAACTAAAAATGCCAAAACGAAAAGCTAATCGTGTTCCAGCTAAAGTTACACCTACAGTGGACACAGGTACATCTAAAACAATGAAAAAAACATAGGCGAGAGCAAGGATTCTAGATCGAGACCGCAGTAAGGTAATGTAAGGCTGTAAGTTTGGGTGAAGATTATTTGCTAATGATTGAACATGACTCAGTTACAATGGACAAAAGTCACACAGTTGACACAGGTACATCTAAAACAGTGAAAAAAAGACAACCAGTTACACAGGTGAGAGCAAGGATTCTAGATCGAGACCGCAGTGAAAGTTCAGGCGATGTTGAAATCGAAACTGATAGTGACCCAAACTCTCCTGATTTAGACCCTGATCCATCTTCATCTTCAGCATCAACCAGTGCGACTGACACTGCAGGGCTTTTGGAGTCACAACGGGACCATTTCTGTGCGCTCGTGAAAACAGTACCTGCTGGTCTGATTACCACCAGAAACTTGACTTTTGGCGCTAAAATGCATTTATTTATTTATTTATTATGTACTTGAATTTATTCAAAGGCATTGACCACGCTGATGCTCGTATGGTACTTCTTAATGAGTATAAGGATTTGCGCGAGCGCATTTTTCGTTATCTCTCAGTTAAGAAATGTGCTCTAAGTTTAGTAAAAACACTGAACTTGCGTCATTTTCAAAGCAATATTACACATATACATTATTATAAGTTGTTTCAAGGCCTAAAAATGCTCAAATTAAAATGTTGATTTTGGGGCCAATTTTGGCCCAAGAACTCAGGGTTGGTGTGCTGTTTCTATGGGGAATATAGGGTTGTGGGACATAATACTGTGGGAATGTAGGTGTAAGAGGGTTAAGAGGTAGCATTTAGTCTGTATCAAGACTTTTGAGAGTCCCCAATAGTTGCTCAGACTGTGACCCCGAGTATTGCAGGTAGACTTACACCAGGATGGCCGAGCGGTTAAGGCGTTGGACTCAAGATCCAATGGACAAAAGTCCCGTGGGTTCAAACCCCACTCCTGGTAAAGCAAACTTTCATCTTAGTCATGTTCAATCATTAGCAAATAATCTTCACCCAAACTTACAGCCTTACATTGCAAGTATTACGCTTGTCCATTGCTAAATTGATGCACGCCAAGGAGAGCTGCTAAATCTTTTGAAAGATAAAGGCCAACATATCTCAAGAGGTAGCATTTATTCTGTATCAAGACTCTTGAGAGTCAGCGCGTAGTTGCTGTGACCGTGACCCCGAAGTTTTCCTGTTGGCCTTACAACCGGGATGGCGAGTGGTTAAGCGCGTTGGACTTAAGTTCCAATGGACAAAAGTCCTCGTGGGTTTAAACCCCACTCCTGGTAAATGGTTAGCTTTAGCGGAGTTATGCTTAAACATAAGCAAATAATCTTCACCAAAACTTACTACCATGTCATGGCTAGCATAAAGAACATCCATATGTCCATTCCTTAATGGATTCAAGCCAAGAATGTACTTTACAATTTTTGGACAGATAAAGGCCAGCATATCTCAAGAGGTAACATTTATTCTGTATAGAGAGTCAGCAGAAATTGCTGAGACTGTGACCCTCTGGTCTTCCATTTAGACCAACACCAGGATGGCCGAGTGGTTAAGGCGTTGGACGTAGGTTCCAATGGATTAAAGTCCTCGTGGGTTCAAACCCCACTCCTGGTAAATAAGAAGCATTAGCTGAGTAATGTTCAAACAAATGCAGATATTCTGAACCAAATCTTACAGGCATGTAAGTTGTGTTCAAATATTTGCAAAATCTCTTCTCCAAACCTTATAGGCATTTCACGGCAACCATAATGCACACCCATATGACCATTCCTTAATGAATACAAGCCAAGAATGTACTGTGCAGTTTTTGACAGATAAAGGTGGACCTATCTTAACCCTCTTACCCCGTATGGCTTAAAAACCGGCTTGCCTGTCTTTGATCTATTCCCGCAGGACGACATACCGGCTTGGTCGTCTTGGCAAATCCTGTAAGACAGACATAGTGGCTTTACAGTGTAACGCGTTACCCCGTAAAGCCGGTATACCGGCATTACTCTGCTATGATTCCTTACTTATTTAATTATTATTTTTTGTCCAGAAGGTTGATGACGTCATGACGTCACGACGTGTATTACGTTATTACGCCGTCATTACGATGAAGATGATCCACGCGGGAATATTGGGGTAATAGTAGAAGTGAACTAAAAATGCCAAAACGAAAAGCTAATCGTGTTCCAGCTAAAGTTACACCTACAGTGGACACAGGTACATCTAAAACAATGAAAAAACATAGGCGAGAGCAAGGATTCTAGATCGAGACCGCAGTAAGGTAATGTAAGGCTGTAAGTTTGGGTGAAGATTATTTGCTAATGATTGAACATGACTCAGTTACAATGGACAAAAGTCACACAGTTGACACAGGTACATCTAAAACAGTGAAAAAAGACAACCAGTTACACAGGTGAGAGCAAGGATTCTAGATCGAGACCGCAGTGAAAGTTCAGGCGATGTTGAAATCGAAACTGATAGTGACCCAAACTCTCCTGATTTAGACCCTGATCCATCTTCATCTTCAGCATCAACCAGTGCGACTGACACTGCAGGGCTTTTGGAGTCACAACGGGACCATTTCTGCGTTTCGTGAAAACCGTAGCTGCTGGTCTGATTACCACCAGAAACTTGACTTTTGGCGCTAAAATGCATTTATTTATTTATTTATTATGTACTTGAATTTATTCAAAGGCATTGACCACGCTGATGCTCGTATGGTACTTCTTAATGAGTATAAGGATTTTAGCGAGCATTTTTGGTCATTTCTCTAGTTAAGAAATGTGCTCTAAGTTTAGTAAAAACACTGAACTTGCGTCATTTTCAAAGCACTATTACACATATACATTATTATAAGTTGTTTCAAGGCCTAAAAATGCTCAAATTAAAATGTTGATTTTGGGGCCAATTTTGGCCCAAGAACTCAGGGTTGGTGTGCTGTTTCTATGGGGAATATAGGGTTGTGGGACATAATACTGTGGGAATGTAGGTGTAAGAGGGTTAAGAGGTAGCATTTAGTCTGTATCAAGACTTTTGAGAGTCCCCAATAGTTGCTCAGACTGTGACCCCGAGTATTGCAGGTAGACTTACACCAGGATGGCCGAGCGGTTAAGGCGTTGGACTCAAGATCCAATGGACAAAAGTCCTCGTGGGTTTAAACCCCACTCCTGGTAAAGCCAAACTTTCATCTTAGTCATGTTCAATCATTAGCAAATAATCTTCACCCAAACTTACAGCCTTACATTGCAAGTATTACGCTTGTCCATTGCTAAATTGATGCACGCCAAGGAGAGCTGCTAAATCTTTTGAAAGATAAAGGCCAACATATCTCAAGAGGTAGCATTTATTCTGTATCAAGACTCTTGAGAGTCAGCGGTAGTTGCTGTGACCGTGACCCCGAGTTTTCCTGTTGGCCATACACCGGGATGGCCGAGTGGTTAAGGCGTTGGACTTAAGTTCCAATGGACAAAAGTCCTCGTGGGTTTAAACCCCACTCCTGGTAAATGGTTAGCTTTAGCGGAGTTATGCTTAAACATAAGCAAATAATCTTCACCAAAACTTACTACCATGTCATGGCTAGCATAAAGAACATCCATATGTCCATTCCTTAATGGATTCAAGCCAAGAATGTACTTTACAATTTTTGACAGATAAAGGCCAGCATATCTCAAGAGGTAACATTTATTCTGTATAGAGAGTCAGCAGAAATTGCTGAGACTGTGACCCTCTGGTCTTCCATTTAGACCAACACCAGGATGGCCGAGTGGTTAAGGCGTTGGACGTAGGTTCCAATGGATTAAAGTCCTCGTGGGTTCAAACCCCACTCCTGGTAAAAAGAAGCATTAGCTGAGTAATGTTCAAACAAATGCAGATATTCTGAACCAAATCTTACAGGCATGTAAGTTGTGTTCAAATATTTGCAAAATCTCTTATCCAAACCTTATAGGCATTTCACGGCAACCATAATGCACACCCATATGACCATTCCTTAATGAATACAAGCCAAGAATGTACTGTGCAGTTTTTGACAGATAAAGGTGGACCTATCTTAACCCTCTTACCCCGTATGGCTTAAAACCGGCTTGCCTGTTTTTGATCTATTCCCGTAAGGACGACATACCGGCTTGGTCGTCTATGGCAAATCCCGTAAGACAGACATAGTGGCTTTACAGTGTAAACGTTATCCCGTAAAGCCGGTATACCGGCATTACTCTGCTATGATTCCTTACTTATTTAATTATTATTTTTTGTCCAGAAGGTTGATGACGTCATGACGTCACGACGCGGATACGTTATTACGCCCGTCATTACGATGAAGATGATCCAAGCGTGAATATTGGGGTAATAGTAGAAGTGAACTAAAAATGCCAAAACGAAAAGCTAATCGTGTTCCAGCTAAAGTTACACCTACAGTGGACACAGGTACATCTAAAACAATGAAAAAACATAGGCGAGAGCAAGGATTCTAGATCGAGACCGCGGTAAGGTAATGTAAGGCGGTAAGTTTGGGTGAAGATTATTTGCTAATGATTGAACATGACTCAGTTACAATGGACAAAAGTCACACAGTTGACACAGGTACATCTAAAACAGTGAAAAAAGACAACCAGTTACACAGGTGAGAGCAAGGATTCTAGATCGAGACCGCAGTGAAAGTTCAGGCGATGTTGAAATCGAAACTGATAGTGACCCAAACTCTCCTGATTTAGACCCTGATCCATCTTCATCTTCAGCATCAACCAGTGCGACTGACACTGCAGGGCTTTTGGAGTCACAACGGGACCATTTCTGTGCGCTCGTGAAAACAGTACCTGCTGGTCTGATTACCACCAGAAACTTGACTTTTGGCGCTAAAATGCATTTATTTATTTATTTATTATGTACTTGAATTTATTCAAAGGCATTGACCACGCTGATGCTCGTATGGTACTTCTTAATGAGTATAAGGATTTTGCAGGGGCATTTTTCGTTATTTCTCAGTTAAGAAATGTGCTCTAAGTTTAGTAAAAACACTGAACTTGCGTCATTTTCAAAGCAATATTACACATATACATTATTATAAGTTGTATCAAGGCCTAAAAATGCTCAAATTAAAATGTTGATTTTGGGGCCAATTTTGGCCCAAGAACTCAGGGTTGGTGTGCTGTTTCTATGGGGAATATAGGGTTGTGGGACATAATACTGTGGGAATGTAGGTGTAAGAGGGTTAAGAGGTAGCATTTAGTCTGTATCAAGACTTTTGAGAGTCCCCAATAGTTGCTCAGACTGTGACCCCGAGTATTGCAGGTAGACTTACACCAGGATGGCCGAGCGGTTAAGGCGTTGGACTCAAGATCCAATGGACAAAAGTCCTCGTGGGTTCAAACCCCACTCCTGGTAAAGCAAACTTTCATCTTAGTCATGTTCAATCATTAGCAAATAATCTTCACCCAAACTTACAGCCTTACATTGCAAGTATTACGCTTGTCCATTGCTAAATTGATGCACGCCAAGGAGAGCTGCTAAATCTTTTGAAAGATAAAGGCCAACATATCTCAAGAGGTAGCATTTATTCTGTATCAAGACTCTTGAGAGTCAGCCGTAGTTGCTGTGACCGTGACCCCGAGTTTTCCTGTTGGCCATACACCGGGATGGCCGAGTGGTTAAGGCGTTGGACTTAAGTTCCAATGGACAAAAGTCCTCGTGGGTTTAAACCCCACTCCTGGTAAATGGTTAGCTTTAGCGGAGTTATGCTTAAACATAAGCAAATAATCTTCACCAAAACTTACTACCATGTCATGGCTAGCATAAAGAACATCCATATGTCCATTCCTTAATGGATTCAAGCCAAGAATGTACTTTACAATTTTTGACAGATAAAGGCCAGCATATCTCAAGAGGTAACATTTATTCTGTATCGAGAGTCAGCAGAAGTTGCTGAGACTGTGACCCTCTGGTCTTCCATTTAGACCAACACCAGGATGGCCGAGTGGTTAAGGCGTTGGACGTAGGTTCCAATGGATTAAAGTCCTCGTGGGTTCAAACCCCACTCCTGGTAAATAAGAAGCATTAGCTGAGTAATGTTCAAACAAATGCAGATATTCTGAACCAAATCTTACAGGCATGTAAGTTGTGTTCAAATATTTGCAAAATCTCTTCTCCAAACCTTATAGGCATTTCACGGCAACCATAATGCACACCCATATGACCATTCCTTAATGAATACAAGCCAAGAATGTACTGTGCAGTTTTTGACAGATAAAGGTGGACCTATCTTAACCCTCTTACCCCGTATGGCTTAAAAACCGGCTTGCCTGTCTTTGATCTATTCCCGTAGGACGACATACCGGCCGTGCGTCTATGGCAAATTCCCGTAAGACAGACATAGTGGCTTTACAGTGTAACGTTATCCCCGTAAGCGGTATACCGGCATTACTCTGCTATGATTCCTTACTTATTTAATTATTATTTTTTGTCCAGAAGGTTGATGACGTCATGACGTCACGACGTGATTACGTTATTACGCCGTCATTACGATGAAGATGATCCAAGCGTGAATATTGGGGTAATAGTAGAAGTGAACTAAAAATGCCAAAACGAAAAGCTAATCGTGTCCAGCTAAAGTTACACCTACAGTGGACACAGGTACATCTAAAACAATGAAAAAACATAGGCGAGAGCAAGGAGTTCTAGATCGAGACCGCAGTAAGGTAATGTAAGGCTGTAAGTTTGGGTGAAGATTATTTGCTAATGATTGAACATGACTCAGTTACAATGGACAAAAGTCACACAGTTGACACAGGTACATCTAAAACAGTGAAAAAAAGACAACCAGTTACACAGGTGAGAGCAAGGATTCTAGATCGAGACCGCAGTGAAAGTTCAGGCGATGTTGAAATCGAAACTGATAGTGACCCAAACTCTCCTGATTTAGACCCTGATCCATCTTCATCTTCAGCATCAACCAGTGCGACTGACACTGCAGGGCTTTTTGAGTCACAACGGGACCATTTCTGTTGCGCCCGAAAAACAGTACCTGCTGGTCTGATTACCACCAGAAACTTGACTTTTGGCGCTAAAATGCATTTATTTATTTATTTATTATGTACTTGAATTTATTCAAAGGCATTGACCACGCTGATGCTCGTATGGTACTTCTTAATGAGTATAAGGATTTTAGCGAGCATTTTTCGTCATTTCTCTAGTTAAGAAATGTGCTCTAAGTTTAGTAAAAACACTGAACTTGCGTCATTTTCAAAGCAATATTACACATATACATTATTATAAGTTGTATCAAGGCCTAAAAATGCTCAAATTAAAATGTTGATTTTGGGGCCAATTTTGGCCCAAGAACTCAGGGTTGGTGTGCTGTTTCTATGGGGAATATAGGGTTGTGGGACATAATACTGTGGGAATGTAGGTGTAAGAGGGTTAAGAGGTAGCATTTAGTCTGTATCAAGACTTTTGAGAGTCCCCAATAGTTGCTCAGACTGTGACCCCGAGTATTGCAGGTAGACTTACACCAGGATGGCCGAGCGGTTCCAATGGACAAAAGATCCAATGGATCCAATGGACAAAAGTCCTCGTGGGTTCAAACCCCACTCCTGGTAAAGCAAACTTTCATCTTAGTCATGTTCAATCATTAGCAAATAATCTTCACCCAAACTTACAGCCTTACATTGCAAGTATTACGCTTGTCCATTGCTAAATTGATGCACGCCAAGGAGAGCTGCTAAATCTTTTGAAAGATAAAGGCCAACATATCTCAAGAGGTAGCATTTATTCTGTATCAAGACTCTTGAGAGTCAGCCGTAGTTGCTGTGACCGTGACCCCGAGTTTTCCTGTTGGCCATACACCGGGATGGCCGAGTGGTTAAGGCGTTGGACTTAAGTTCCAATGGACAAAAGTCTTCGTGGGTTCAAACCCCACTCCTGGTAAATGGTTAGCTTTAGCGGAGTTATGCTTAAACATAAGCAAATAATCTTCACTAAAACTTACTACCATGTCATGGCTAGCATAAAGAACATCCATATGTCCATTCCTTAATGGATTCAAGCCAAGAATGTACTTTACAATTTTTGACAGATAAAGGCCAGCATATCTCAAGAGGTAACATTTATTCTTTATCGAGAGTCAGCAGAAGTTGCTGAGACTGTGACCCTCTGGTCTTCCATTTAGACCAACACCAGGATGGCCGAGTGGTTAAGGCGTTGGACGTAGGTTCCAATGGATTAAAGTCCTCGTGGGTTCAAACCCCACTCCTGGTAAATAAGAAGCATTAGCTGAGTAATGTTCAAACAACTGCAGATATTCTGAACCAAATCTTACAGGCATGTAAGTTGTGTTCAAATATTTGCAAAATCTCTTCTCCAAACCTTATAGGCATTTCACGGCAACCATAATGCACACCCATATGACCATTCCTTAATGAATACAAGCCAAGAATGTACTGTGCAGTTTTTGACAGATAAAGGTGGACCTATCTTAACCCTCTTACCCCGTATGGCTTAAAAACCGGCTTGCCTGTCTTTGATCTATTCCCGTAAGGACGACATACCGGCTTGGTCGTCTATGGCAAATCCCCGTAAGACAGACATAGTGGCTTTACAGTGTAAACGTTATCCCCGTAAAGCCGGTATACCGGCATTACTCTGCTATGATTCCTTACTTATTTAATTATTATTTTTTGTCCAGAAGGTTGATGACGTCATGACGCTACGGATGCGGATTAATTACGCCGTCATTACGGTGAAGATGATCCAAGCGTGAATATTGGGGTAATAGTAGAAGTGAACTAAAAATGCCAAAACGAAAAAGCTAATCGTGTTCCAGCTAAAGTTACACCTACAGTGGACACAGGTACATCTAAAACAATGAAAAAAACATAGGCGAGAGCAAGGATTCTAGATCGAGACCGCAGTAAGGTAATGTAAGGCTGTAAGTTTGGGTGAAGATTATTTGCTAATGATTGAACATGACTCAGTTACAATGGACAAAAGTCACACAGTTGACACAGGTACATCTAAAACAGTGAAAAAAAGACAACCAGTTACACAGGTGAGAGCAAGGATTCTAGATCGAGACCGCAGTGAAAGTTCAGGCGATGTTGAAATCGAAACTGATAGTGACCCAAACTCTCCTGATTTAGACCCTGATCCATCTTCATCTTCAGCATCAACCAGTGCGACTGACACTGCAGGGCTTTTGGAGTCACAACGGGACCATTTCTGTGCGCTCGTGAAAACAGTACCTGCTGGTCTGATTACCACCAGAAACTTGACTTTTGGCGCTAAAATGCATTTATTTATTTATTTATTATGTACTTGAATTTATTCAAAGGCATTGACCACGCTGATGCTCGTATGGTACTTCTTAATGAGTATAAGGATTTTAGCGAGCATTTTTCGTCATTTCTCTAGTTAAGAAATGTGCTCTAAGTTTAGTAAAAACACTGAACTTGCGTCATTTTCAAAGCAATATTACACATATACATTATTATAAGTTGTATCAAGGCCTAAAAATGCTCAAATTAAAATGTTGATTTTGGGGCCAATTTTGGCCCAAGAACTCAGGGTTGGTGTGCTGTTTCTATGGGGAATATAGGGTTGTGGGACATAATACTGTGGGAATGTAGGTGTAAGAGGGTTAAGAGGTAGCATTTAGTCTGTATCAAGACTTTTGAGAGTCCCCAATAGTTGCTCAGACTGTGACCCCGAGTATTGCAGGTAGACTTACACCAGGATGGCCGAGCGGTTCCAATGGACAAAAGATCCAATGGATCCAATGGACAAAAGTCCTCGTGGGTTCAAACCCCACTCCTGGTAAAGCAAACTTTCATCTTAGTCATGTTCAATCATTAGCAAATAATCTTCACCCAAACTTACAGCCTTACATTGCAAGTATTACGCTTGTCCATTGCTAAATTGATGCACGCCAAGGAGAGCTGCTAAATCTTTTGAAAGATAAAGGCCAACATATCTCAAGAGGTAGCATTTATTCTGTATCAAGACTCTTGAGAGTCAGCCGTAGTTGCTGTGACCGTGACCCCGAGTTTTCCTGTTGGCCATCCCGGGATGGCCGAGTGGTTAAACGCTTGGACTTAAGTTCCAATGGACAAAAGTCTTCGTGGGTTCAAACCCCACTCCTGGTAAATGGTTAGCTTTAGCGGAGTTATGCTTAAACATAAGCAAATAATCTTCACTAAAACTTACTACCATGTCATGGCGAGCATAAAGAACATCCATATGTCCATTCCTTAATGGATTCAAGCCAAGAATGTACCTTTACAATTTTTGACAGATAAAGGCCAGCATATCTCAAGAGGTAACATTTATTCTTTATCGAGAGTCAGCAGAAGTTGCTGAGACTGTGACCCTCTGGTCTTCCATTTAGACCAACACCAGGATGGCCGAGTGTAGGCGTTGGACGTAGGTTCCAATGGATTAAAGTCCTCGTGGGTTCAAACCCCACTCCTGGTAAATAAGAAGCATTAGCTGAGTAATGTTCAAACAACTGCAGATATTCTGAACCAAATCTTACAGGCATGTAAGTTGTGTTCAAATATTTGCAAAATCTCTTCTCCAAACCTTATAGGCATTTCACGGCAACCATAATGCACACCCATATGACCATTCCTTAATGAATACAAGCCAGGAATGTACTGTGCAGTTTTTGACAGATAAAGGTGGACCTATCTTAACCCTCTTACCCCGTATGGCTTAAAAACCGGCTGCCTGTCTTTGATCTATTCCGTAGGACGACATACCGGTTTGCCGTCTATGGCAAATCCCCGTAAGACAGACATAGTGGCTTTACAGTGTAAACGTTATCCCCGTAAAGCCGGTATACCGGCATTACTCTGCTATGATTCCTTACTTATTTAATTATTATTTTTTGTCCAGAAGGTTGATGACGTCATGACGTCACGACGTGATTACGTTATTACGCCGTCATTACGATGAAGATGATCCAAGCGTGAATATTGGGGTAATAGTAGAAGTGAACTAAAAATGCCAAAACGAAAAGCTAATCGTGTTCCAGCTAAAGTTACACCTACAGTGGACACAGGTACATCTAAAACAATGAAAAAAACATAGGCGAGAGCAAGGATTCTAGATCGAGACCGCAGTAAGGTAATGTAAGGCTGTAAGTTTGGGTGAAGATTATTTGCTAATGATTGAACATGACTTAGTTACAATGGACAAAAGTCACACAGTTGACACAGGTACATCTAAAACAGTGAAAAAAAGACAACCAGTTACACAGGTGAGAGCAAGGATTCTAGATCGAGACCGCAGTGAAAGTTCAGGCGATGTTGAAATCGAAACTGATAGTGACCCAAACTCTCCTGATTTAGACCCTGATCCATCTTCATCTTCAGCATCAACCAGTGCGACTGACACTGCAGGGCTTTGGAGTCACAACGGGACCATTTCTGTGCGCTCGTGAAAACAGTACCTGCTGGTCTGATTACCACCAGAAACTTGACTTTTGGCGCTAAAATGCATTTATTTATTTATTTATTTATTATGTACTTGAATTTATTCAAAGGCATTGACCACGCTGATGCTCGTATGGTACTTCTTAATGAGTATAAGGATTTTAGCGAGCATTTTTCGTCATTTCTCTAGTTAAGAAATGTGCTCTAAGTTTAGTAAAAACACTGAACTTGCGTCATTTTCAAAGCAATATTACACATATACATTATTATAAGTTGTTTCAAGGCCTAAAAATGCTCAAATTAAAATGTTGATTTTGGGGCCAATTTTGGCCCAAGAACTCAGGGTTGGTGTGCTGTTTCTATGGGGAATATAGGGTTGTGGGACATAATACTGTGGGAATGTAGGTGTAAGAGGGTTAAGAGGTAGCATTTAGTCTGTATCAAGACTTTTGAGAGTCCCCAATAGTTGCTGAGACTGTGACCCCGAGTATTGCAGGTAGACTTACACCAGGATGGCCGAGCGGTTAAGGCGTTGGACTCAAGATCCAATGGACAAAAGTCCTCGTGGGTTCAAACCCCACTCCTGGTAAAGCAAACTTTCATCTTAGTCATGTTCAATCATTAGCAAATAATCTTCACCCAAACTTACAGCCTTACATTGCAATTATTACGCTTGTCCATTGCTAAATTGATGCACGCCAAGGAGAGCTGCTAAATCTTTTGAAAGATAAAGGCCAACATATCTCAAGAGAAGAGATTTTGCAAATATTTGAACACAGCTTACATGCTTACATGTAGCATTTATTCTGTATAAAGATTCGTGAGAGTCAGCCGTAGTTGCTGTGACCGTGACCCCGAGTATTCCTGTTTGCCATACACCGGGATGGCCGAGTGGTTAAGGCGTTGGACTTATGTTCCAATGGACAAAAGTCTTCGTGGGTTCAAACCCCACTCCTGGTAAATGGTTAGCTTTAGCAGAGTTATGCTTAAACATAAGCAAATAATCTTCACCAAAACTTACTACCATGTCATGGCTAGCATAAAGAACATCCATATGTCCATTCCATAATGGATTCAGGCCAAGAATGTACTTTTGCAGTTTTTGACAGAAAAAGGCCAGCACCTCTCAAGAGGTAGCATTTATTCTTTATCGAGAGTTAGCAGAAGTTGCTGAGACTGTGACCCTCTGGTCTTCCATTTAGACAAACACCAGGATGGATGAGTGTTTAAGGCGTTGGACGTAGGTTCCAATGGATTAAAGTCCTCGTGGGTTCAAACCCCACTCCTGGTAAATAAGAAGCATTAGCTGAGTAATGTTCAAAAACTGCAGATATTCTGAACCAAACCTTACAGGCATGTAAGCTGTGTTCAAATATTTGCAAAATCTCTTCTCCAAACCTTATAGGCATGTCATGGCAACCATAATGCACACCCATATGACCATTCCTTAATGAATACAAGCCAAGAATGTACTGTGCAGTTTTTGACAGATAATGGCTGACCTATCTTAACCCTCTTACCCCATATGTCCGAAAAACCGGTTTGCCTGTCTTTGATCTATTCCCGTAAGGACGACATACCGGCTGTGGTCTATGGCAAATCCTACATAAGGCAGACGTAGTGGCTTTACAGTGTAACGTTATCCCGGTAAAGCCGGTATACCGGCATTACTCTGCTATGATTCCTTACTTATTTAATTATTATTTTTTGTCCAGAAGGTTGATGACGTCACCAGGATGGCCGAGCGGTTAAGGCGTTGGACTCAAGATCCAATGGACAAAAGTCCTCGTGGGTTCAAACCCCTCTCCTGGTAAAGCAAGCTTTCATCTTAGTCATGTTCAATCATTAGCAAATAATCTTCACCCAAACTTACAGCCTTACATTGCAAGTATTACGCTTGTCCATTGCTAAATTGATGCACGCCAAGGAGAGCTGCTAAATCTTTTGAAAGATAAAGGCCAACATATCTCAAGAGGTAGCATTTATTCTGTATCAAGACTCTTGAGAGTCAGCCGTAGACCCCGAGTTTTCCTGTTGGCCATACACTGGGATGGCCGAGTGTTTAAGGCATTGGAGATAGGTTCCAATGGATTAAAGTCCTCGTGGGTTCAAACCCCACTCCTGGTAAATAAGAAGCATTAGCTGGGTAATGTTCAAACAACTGCAGATATTCTGAACCAAATCTTACAGGCATGTAAGTTGTGTTCAAATATTTGCAAAATCTCTTTTTCAAACCTTATAGGCATTTCACCGGGCAACCATAATGCACACCCATATGACCATTCCTTAATGAATACAAGCCAAGAATGTACTGTGCAGTTTTTGACAGATAAAGGTGGACCTATCTTAACCCTCTTACCCCGTATGGCTTAAAAACCGGCTTGCCTGTCTTTGATCTATTCCCGTAAGGACGACACTACGGCTTGGTGGTTATGGCCAATCCCGTAAGACAGACATAGTGGCTTTACAGTGTAAGCGTTATCCCGTAAAGCCGGTATACCGGCATTACTCTGCTATGATTCCTTACTTATTTAATTATTATTTTTTGTCCAGAAGGTTGATGACGTCATGACGTCACGACGTGATACGTCCAAGCGTGAATATTGGGGTAATAGTAGAAGTGAACTAAAAATGCCAAAACGAAAAGCTAATCGTGTTCCAGCTAAAGTTACACCTACAGTGGACACAGGTACATCTAAAACAATGAAAAAAACATAGGCGAGAGCAAGGATTCTAGATCGAGACCGCAGTAAGGTAATGTAAGGCTGTAAGTTTGGGTGAAGATTATTTGCTAATGATTGAACATGACTTAGTTACAATGGACAAAAGTCACACAGTTGACACAGGTACATCTAAAACAGTGAAAAATAGACAACCAGTTACACAGGTGAGAGCAAGGATTCTAGATCGAGACCGCAGTGAAAGTTCAGGCGATGTTGAAATCGAAACAGATAGTGACCCAAACTCTCCTGATTTAGACCCTGATCCATCTTCATCTTCAGCATCAACCAGTGCGACTGACACTGCAGGGCTTTGGGTTCAAGCAGGACCATTTCTGTCGCTTCGTAAAACAGTACCTGCTGGTCTGATTACCACCAGAAACTTGACTTTTGGCGCTAAAATGCATTTATTTATTTATTTATTATGTACTTGAATTTATTCAAAGGCATTGACCCCCGATGCTGGTGCGTATGGTACTTCTTAATGAGTATAAGGATTTTAGCGAGCATTTTTCGTCATTTCTCTAGTTAAGAAATGTGCTCTAAGTTTAGTAAAAACACTGAACTTGCGTCATTTTCAAAGCAATATTACACATATACATTATTATAAGTTGTTTCAAGGCCTAAAAATGCTCAAATTAAAATGTTGATTTTGGGGCCAATTTTGGCCCAAGAACTCAGGGTTGGTGTGCTGTTTCTATGGGGAATATAGGGTTGTGGGACATAATACTGTGGGAATGTAGGTGTAAGAGGGTTAAGAGGTAGCATTTAGTCTGTATCAAGACTTTTGAGAGTCCCCAATAGTTGCTGAGACTGTGACCCCGAGTATTGCAGGTAGCCTAACACCAGGATGGCCGAGCGGTTAAGGCGTTGGACTCAAGATCCAATGGACAAAAGTCCTCGTGGGTTCAAACCCCACTCCTGGTAAAGCAAACTTTCATCTTAGTCATGTTCAATCATTAGCAAATAATCTTCACCCAAACTTACAGCCTTACATTGCAATTATTACGCTTGTCCATTGCTAAATTGATGCACGCCAAGGAGAGCTGCTAAATCTTTTGAAAGATAAAGGCCAACATATCTCAAGAGAAGAGATTTTGCAAATATTTGAACACAGCTTACATGCTTACATGTAGCATTTATTCTGTATAAAGATTCGTGAGAGTCAGCCGTAGTTGCTGTGACCGTGACCCCGAGTATTCCTGTTGGCCATACACCGGGATGGCCGAGTGGTTAAGGCGTTGGACTTAAGTTCCAATGGACAAAAGTCTTCGTGGGTTCAAACCCCACTCCTGGTAAATGGTTAGCTTTAGCAGAGTTATGCTTAAACATAAGCAAATAATCTTCACCAAAACTTACTACCATGTCATGGCTAGCATAAAGAACATCCATATGTCCATTCCATAATGGATTCAGGCCAAGAATGTACTTTGCAGTTTTTGACAGAAAAAAGGCCAGCACCTCTCAAGAGGTAGCATTTATTCTTTATCGAGAGTTAGCAGAAGTTGCTGAGACTGTGACCCTCTGGTCTTCCATTTAGACAAACACCAGGATGGATGAGTGTTTAAGGCGTTGGACGTAGGTTCCAATGGATTAAAGTCCTCGTGGGTTCAAACCCCACTCCTGGTAAATAAGAAGCATTAGCTGAGTAATGTTCAAACAACTGCAGATATTCTGAACCAAACCTTACAGGCATGTAAGCTGTGTTCAAATATTTGCAAAATCTCTTCTCCAAACCTTATAGGCATGTCATGGCAACCATAATGCACACCCATATGACCATTCCTTAATGAATACAAGCCAAGAATGTACTGTGCAGTTTTTGACAGATAATGGCTGACCTATCTTAACCCTCTTACCCCATATGTCCGAAAAACCGGTTTGCCTGTCTTTGATCTATTCCCGTAAGGACGACATACCGGCTTGGTCGTCTATGGCAAATCCTCGTAAGGCAGACGTAGTGGCTTTACAGTGTAAACGTTATCCCCGTAAAGCCGGTATACCGGCATTACTCTGCTATGATTCCTTACTTATTTAATTATTATTTTTTGTCCAGAAGGTTGATGACGTCACCAGGATGGCCGAGCGGTTAAGGCGTTGGACTCAAGATCCAATGGACAAAAGTCCTCGTGGGTTCAAACCCCTCTCCTGGTAAACCAAGCTTTCATCTTAGTCATGTTCAATCATTAGCAAATAATCTTCACCCAAACTTACAGCCTTACATTGCAAGTATTACGCTTGTCCATTGCTAAATTGATGCACGCCAAGGAGAGCTGCTAAATCTTTTGAAAGATAAAGGCCAACATATCTCAAGAGGTAGCATTTATTCTGTATCAAGACTCTTGAGAGTCAGCCGTAGACCCCGAGTTTTCCTGTTGGCCATACACTGGGATGGCCGAGTGTTTAAGGCATTGGACGTAGGTTCTCAAGAGGCCGAGTGTTTAAGGCATTGGACGTAGGTTCCAATGGATTAAAGTCCTCGTGGGTTCAAACCCCACTCCTGGTAAATAAGAAGCATTAGCTGAGTAATGTTCAAACAACTGCAGATATTCTGAACCAAATCTTACAGGCATGTAAGTTGTGTTCAAATATTTGCAAAATCTCTTCTCCAAACCTTATAGGCATTTCAGCACGCAACCATAATGCACACCCATATGACCATTCCTTAATGAATACAAGCCAAGAATGTACTGTGCAGTTTTTGACAGATAAAGGTGGACCTATCTTAACCCTCTTACCCGTTGTATGCTTAAAAACCGGCTTGCCTGTCTTTGATCTATTCCCGTAAGGACGACATAACCGGCTTGGTCGTCTATGGCAAATCCCGTAAGACAGACATAGTGGCTTTACAGTGTAAACGTTATCCCCGTAAAGTCGGTATACCGGCATTACTCTGCTATGATTCCTTACTTATTTAATTATTATTTTTTGTCCAGAAGGTTGATGACGTCATGACGTCACGACGTGATAACGTTATTACGCCGTCATTACGATGAAGATGATCCAAGCGTGAATATTGGGGTAATAGTAGAAGTGAACTAAAAATGCCAAACGAAAAGCTAATCGTGTTCCAGCTAAAGTTACACCTACAGTGGACACAGGTACATCTAAAACAATGAAAAAACATAGGCGAGGCAAGGATTCTAGATCGAGACCGCAGTAAGGTAATGTAAGGCTGTAAGTTTGGGTGAAGATTATTTGCTAATGATTGAACATGACTTAGTTACAATGGACAAAAGTCACACAGTTGACACAGGTACATCTAAAACAGTGAAAAATAGACAACCAGTTACACAGGTGAGAACAAGGATTCTAGATCGAGACCGCAGTGAGAAGTTCAGGCGATGTTGAAATCGAAACTGATAGTGACCCAAACTCTCCTGATTTAGACCCTGATCCATCTTCATCTTCAGCATCAACCAGTGCGACTGACACTGCAGGGCTTTGGAGTCAACGCAGGACCATTTCTGTGCGTGCGTGAAAACAGTACCTGCTGGTCTGATTACCACCAGAAACTTGACTTTTGGCTCAAAATGCATTTATTTATTTATTTATTATGTACTTGAATTTATTCAAAGGCATTGACCACGCTGATGCTCGTATGGTACTTCTTAATGAGTATAAGGATTTTAGCGAGCATTTTTCGTCATTTCTCTAGTTAAGAAATGTGCTCTAAGTTTAGTAAAAACCTGAACTTCGCGTCATTTTCAAAGCAATATTACACATATACATTATTATAAGTTGTTTCAAGGCCTAAAAATGCTCAAATTAAAATGTTGATTTTGGGACTAATTTTGGCCCAAGAACTCAGGGTTGGTGTGCTGTTTCTATGGGGAATATAGGGTTGTGGGACATAATACTGTGGGAATGTAGGTGTAAGAGGGTTAAGAGGTAGCATTTAGTCTGTATCAAGACTTTTGAGAGTCCCCAATAGTTGCTGAGACTGGCGCCGCGTTGATGTGCAGGTAGACTTACACCAGGATGGCCGAGCGGTTAAGGCGTTGGACTCAAGATCCAATGGACAAAAGTCCTCGTGGGTTCAAACCCCACTCCTGGTAAAGCAAACTTTCATCTTAGTCATGTTCAATCATTAGCAAATAATCTTCACCCAAACTTACAGCCTTACATTGCAATTATGCGGCTTGTCCATTGCTAAATTGATGCACGCCAAGGAGAGCTGCTAAATCTTTTGAAAGATAAAGGGCCAACATATCTCAAGAGAAGAGATTTTGCAAATATTTGAACACGCACACATGCTTATATGTAGCATTTATTCTGTATAAAGATTCGTGAGAGTCAGCCGTAGTTGCTGTGACCGTGACCCGGAGTATTCCTGTTTGCCATACACGGGATGGCCGAGTGGTTAAGGCGTTGGACTTATGTTCCAATGGACAAAAGTCTTCGTGGGTTCAAACCCCACTCCTGGTAAATGGTTAGCTTGTGCAGAGTTATGCTTAAACATAAGCAAATAATCTTCACCAAAACTTACTACCATGTCATGGCTAGCATAAAGAACATCCATATGTCCATTCCATAATGGATTCAGGCCAAGAATGTACTTTGCAGTTTTTGACAGAAAAAGGCCAGCACCTCTCAAGAGGTAGCATTTATTCTTTACGAGAGTTAGCAGAAGTTGCTGAGACTGTGACCCTCTGGTCTTCCATTTAGACAAACACCAGGATGGATGAGTGTTTAAGGCGTTGGACGTAGGTTCCAATGGATTAAAGTCCTCGTGGGTTCAAACCCCACTCCTGGTAAATAAGAAGCATTAGCTGAGTAATGTTCAAACAACTGCAGATATTCTGAACCAAACCTTACAGGCATGTAAGCTGTGTTCAAATATTTGCAAAATCTCTTTTCCAAACCTTATAGGCATGTCATGGCAACCATAATGCACACCCATATGACCATTCCTTAATGAATACAAGCCAAGAATGTACTGTGCAGTTTTTGACAGATAATGGCTGACCTATCTTAACCCTCTTACCCCATATGTCCGAAAAACCGGTTTGCCTGTCTTTGATCTATTCCCGTAGGGACGACATACAGCTACGGTCGGTCTATGGCAAATCCTCGTAAGGCAGACGTAGTGGCTTTACAGTGTAACGTTATCCCGTAAAGCCGGTATACCGGCATTACTCTGCTATGATTCCTTACTTATTTAATTATTATTTTTTGTCCAGAAGGTTGATGACGTCACCAGGATGGCCGAGCGGTTAAGGCGTTGGACTCAAGATCCAATGGACAAAAGTCCTCGTGGGTTCAAACCCCTCTCCTGGTAAAGCAAGCTTTCATCTTAGTCATGTTCAATCATTAGCAAATAATCTTCACCCAAACTTACAGCCTTACATTGCAAGTATTACGCTTGTCCATTGCTAAATTGATGCACGCCAAGGAGAGCTGCTAAATCTTTTGAAAGATAAAGGCCAACATATCTCAAGAGGTAGCATTTATTCTGTATCAAGACTCTTGAGAGTCAGCCGTAGACCCCGAGTTTTCCTGTTGGCCATACACTGGGATGGCCGAGTGTTTAAGGCATTGGACGTAGGTTCCAATGGATTAAAGTCCTCGTGGGTTCAAACCCCACTCCTGGTAAATAAGAAGCATTAGCTGAGTAATGTTCAAACAACTGCAGATATTCTGAACCAAATCTTACAGGCATGTAAGTTGTGTTCAAATATTTGCAAAATCTCTTCTCCAAACCTTATAGGCATTTCACGGCAACCATAATGCACACCCATATGACCATTCCTTAATGAATACAAGCCAAGAATGTACTGTGCAGTTTTTGACAGATAAAGGTGGACCTATCTTAACCCTCTTACCCGCGTGGCGTAAAAACCGGCTTGCCTGTCTTTGATCTATTCCCGTAAAGGCGACATACCGGCTGTGGTCTTGCACCGCAAATCCCGTAAGACAGACATAGTGGCTTTACAGTGTAAACGTTATCCCGTAAAGCCGGTATACCGGCATTACTCTGCTATGATTCCTTACTTATTTAATTATTATTTTTTGTCCAGAAGGTTGATGACGTCATGACGTCACGACGTGATTACGTTATTACGCCGTCATTACGATGAAGATGATCCAAGCGTGAATATTGGGGTAATAGTAGAAGTGAACTAAAAATGCCAAAACACGAAAAGCTAATCGTGTTCCAGCTAAAGTTACACCTACAGTGGACACAGGTACATCTAAAACAATGAAAAAACATAGGCGAGAGCAAGGATTCTAGATCGAGACCGCAGTAAGGTAATATAAGGCTGTAAGTTTGGGTGAAGATTATTTGCTAATGATTGAACATGACTTAGTTACAATGGACAAAAGTCACACAGTTGACACAGGTACATCTAAAACAGTGAAAAATAGACAACCAGTTACACAGGTGAGAGCAAGGATTCTAGATCGAGACCGCAGTGAAAGTTCAGGCGATGTTGAAATCGAGAAACTGATAGTGACCCAAACTCTCCTGATTTAGACCCTGATCCATCTTCATCTTCAGCATCAACCAGTGCGACTGACACTGCAGGGCTTTGGAGTCACAACGGGACCATTTCTGTGCCCCGTTGAAAACAGTACCTGCTGGTCTGATTACCACCAGAAACTTGACTTTTGGCGCTAAAATGCATTTATTTATTTATTTATTATGTACTTGAATTTATTCAAAGGCATTGACCACGCTGATGCTCGTATGGTACTTCTTAATGAGTATAAGGATTTTAGCGAGCATTTTTCGTCATTTCTCTAGTTAAGAAATGTGCTCTAAGTTTAGTAAAAACACTGAACTTGCGTCATTTTCAAAGCAATATTACACATATACATTATTATAAGTTGTTTCAAGGCCTAAAATGCTCAAATTAAAATGTTGATTTTGGGGCCAATTTTGGCCAAGAACTCAGGGTTGGTGTGCTGTTTCTATGGGGAATATAGGGTTGTGGGACATAATACTGTGGGAATGTAGGTGTAAGAGGGTTAAGAGGTAGCATTTAGTCTGTATCAAGACTTTTGGGAGTCCCCAATTGTTGCTGAGACTGTGACCCCGAGTATTGCAGGTAGCCTAACACCAGGATGGCCGCGGTTAAGGCGTTGGACTCAAGATCCAATGGACAAAAGTCCTCGTGGGTTCAAACCCCACTCCTGGTAAAGCAAACTTTCATCTTAGTCATGTTCAATCATTAGCAAATAATCTTCACCCAAACTTACAGCCTTACATTGCAATTATTACGCTTGTCCATTGCTAAATTGATGCACGCCAAGGAGAGCTGCTAAATCTTTTGAAAGATAAAGGCCAACATATCTCAAGAGAAGAGATTTTGCAAATATTTGAACACAGCTTACATGCTTACATGTAGCATTTATTCTGTATAAAGATTCGTGAGAGTCAGCCGTAGTTGCTGTGACCGTGACCCCGAGTATTCTTGTTGGCCATACACGGATGGCGGAGTGGTTATGGCGTTGGACTTAAGTACCAATGGGCAAAAGTCTTCGGTGGGTTCAAACCCCACTCCTGGTAAATGGTTAGCTTTAGCAGAGTTATGCTTAAACATAAGCAAATAATCTTCACCAAAACTTACTACCATGTCATGGCTAGCATAAAGAACATCCATATGTCCATTCCATAATGGATTCAGGCCAAGAATGTACTTTGCAGTTTTTGACAGAAAAAAGGCCAGCACCTCTCAAGAGGTAGCATTTATTCTTTATCGAGAGTTAGCAGAAGTTGCTGAGACTGTGACCCTCTGGTCTTCCATTTAGACAAACACCAGGATGGATGAGTGTTTAAGGCGTTGGACGTAGGTTCCAATGGATTAAAGTCCTCGTGGGTTCAAACCCCACTCCTGGTAAATAAGAAGCATTGGCTGAGTAATGTTCAAACAACTGCAGATATTCTGAACCAAACCTTACAGGCATGTAAGCTGTGTTCAAATATTTGCAAAATCTCTTCTCCAAACCTTATAGGCATGTCATGGCAACCATAATGCACACCCATATGACCATTCCTTAATGAATACAAGCCAAGAATGTACTGTGCAGTTTTTGACAGATAATGGCTGACCTATCTTAACCCTCTTACCCCATATGTCCGAAAAACCGGTTTGCCTGTCTTTGATCTATTCCCGTAAGGACGACATACCGGCTTGGTCGTCTATGGCAAATCCTCGTAAGGCAGACATAGTGGCTTTACAGTGTAAACGTTATCCCGTAAAACCCGGGTATACCGGCATTACTCTGCTATGATTCCTTACTTATTTAATTATTATTTTTTGTCCAGAAGGTTGATGACGTCACCAGGATGGCCGAGCGGTTAAGGCGTTGGACTCAAGATCCAATGGACAAAAGTCCTCGTGGGTTCAAACCCCTCTCCTGGTAAAGCAAGCTTTCATCTTAGTCATGTTCAATCATTAGCAAATAATCTTCACCCAAACTTACAGCCTTACATTGCAAGTATTACGCTTGTCCATTGCTAAATTGATGCCCCCGCCAAGGAGAGCTGCTAAATCTTTTGAAAGATAAAGGCCAACATATCTCAAGAGGTAGCATTTATTCTGTATCAAGACTCTTGAGAGTCAGCCGTAGACCCCGAGTTTTCCTGTTGGCCATACACTGGGATGGCCGTGTGTTTAAGGCATTGGACGTAGGTTCTCAAGAGGCCGGAGTGTTTAAGGCATTGGACGTAGGTTCCAATGGATTAAAGTCCTCGTGGGTTCAAACCCCAGTCCTGGTAAATAAGAAGCATTAGCTGAGTAATGTTCAAACAACTGCAGATATTCTGAACCAAATCTTACAGGCATGTAAGTTGTGTTCAAATATTTGCAAAATCTCTTCTCCAAACCTTATAGGCATTTCACGGCAACCATAATGCACACCCATATGACCATTCCTTAATGAATACAAGCCAAGAATGTACTGTGCAGTTTTTGACAGATAAAGGTGGACCTATCTTAACCCTCTTACCCCGTGTGACTTAAAACCCGGCTTGCCTGTCTTTGATCTAATTCCCGTAAGGGACGACATACCCGGCTTGGTCGTCTATGGCAAATCCCCGTAAGACAGACATAGTGGCTTTACAGTGTAAACGTTATCCCCGTAAAGCCGGTATACCGGCATTACTCTGCTATGATTCCTTACTTATTTAATTATTATTTTTTGTCCAGAAGGTTGATGACGTCATGACGTCACGACGTGATTACGTTATTACGCCGTCATTACGATGAAGATGATCCAAGCGTGAATATTGGGGTAATAGTAGAAGTGAACTAAAAATGCCAAAACGAAAAGCTAATCGTGTTCCAGCTAAAGTTACACCTACAGTGGACACAGGTACATCTAAAACAATGAAAAAAACATAGGCGAGAGCAAGAATTCTAGATCGAGACCGCAGTGAAAGTTCAGGCGATGTTGAAATCGAAACTGATAGTGACCCAAACTCTCCTGATTTAGACCCTGATCCGTCTTCATCTTCAGCATCAACCAGTGCGACTGACACTGCAGGGCTTTGGAGTCACAACGGGACCATTTCTGTGCGCTCGTGAAAACAGTACCTGCTGGTCTGATTACCACCAGAAACTTGACTTTTGGCGCTAAAATGCATTTATTTATTTATTTATTATGTACTTGAATTTATTCAAAGGCATTGACCACGCTGATGCTCGTATGGTACTTCTTAATGAGTATAAGGATTTTAGCGAGCATTTTTCGTCATTTCTCTAGTTAAGAAATGTGCTCTAAGTTTAGTAAAAACACTGAACTTGCGTCATTTTCAAAGCAATATTACACATATACATTATTATAAGTTGTTTCAAGTTTAACTAAATAAAATGTTGATTTTGGAAATGCCAATTTTGCCCAAGAAAGACTCAGGGTTGGTGTGCTGTTTCTATGGGGAATATAGGGTTGTGGGACATAATACTGTCGAAATGTATGGTGTAAGAGGGTTAAGAGGTAGCATTTAGTCTGTATCAAGACTTTTGAGTCCCCAATAGTTGCTGAGACTGTGACCCCGAGTATTGCAGGTAGACTTACACCAGGATGGCCGAGCGGTTAAGGCGTTGGACTCAAGATCCAATGGACAAAAGTCCTCGTGGGTTCAAACCCCACTCCTGGTAAAGCAAACTTTCATCTTAGCCATGTTCAATCATTAGCAAATAATCTTCACCCAAACTTACAGCCTTACATTGCAAGTATGACGCTTGTCCATTGCTAAATTGATGCACGCCAAGGAGAGCTGCTAAACCTTTTGAAAGATAAAGGCCAACATATCTCAAGAGAAGAGATTTTGCAAATATTTGAACACAGCTTACATGCTTACATGTAGCATTTATTCTGTATAAAGATTCGTGAGAGTCAGCCGTAGTTGCTGTGACCGTGACCCCGAGTATTCCTGTTAGCCATACACCGGGATGGCCGAGTGGTTAAGGCGTTGGACTTAAGTTCCAATGGACAAAAGTCTTCGTGGGTTCAAACCCCACTCCTGGTAAATGGTTAGCTTTAGCAGAGTTATGCTTAAACATAAGCAAATAATCTTCACCAAAACTTACCACCATGTCATGGCTAGCATAAAGAACATCCATATGTCCATTCCATAATGGATTCAGGCCAAGAATGTACTTTGCAGTTTTTGACAGAAAAAAGGCCAGCACCTCTCAAGAGGTAGCATTTATTCTTTATCGAGAGTTAGCAGAAGTTGCTGAGACTGTGACCCTCTGGTCTTCCATTTAGACAAACAGCAGGATGGATGAGTGTTTAAGGCGTTGGACGTAGGTTCCAATGGATTAAAGTCCTCGTGGGTTCAAACCCCACTCCTGGTAAATAAGAAGCATTAGCTGAGTAATGTTTAAACAACTGTGAATATTCTGAACCAAACCTTACAGGCATGTAAGCTGTGTTCAAATATTTGCAAAATCTCTTCTCCAAACCTTATAGGCATGTCATGGCAACCATAATGCACACCCATATGACCATTCCTTAATGAATACAAGCCAAGAATGTACTGTGCAGTTTTTGACAGATAATGGCTGACCTATCTTAACCCTCTTACCCCATATGTCCGAAAAACCGGTTTGCCTGTCTTTGATCTATTCCCGTAAGGACGACATACCGGCTTGGTCGGTCTATGGCAAAACCCCGTAAGACAGACATAGTGGCTTTACAGTGTAAACGTTATCCCGTAAAGCCGGTATACCGGCATTACTCTGCTATGATTCCTTACTTATTTAATTATTATTTTTTGTCCAGAAGGTTGATGACGTCATGACGTCACGCGGCTGATTACGTTATACGCCGTCATTACGATGAAGATGATCCAAGCGTGAATATTGAGGTAATAGTAGAAGTGAACTAAAAATGCCAAAACGAAAAGCTAATCGTGTTCCAGCTAAAGTTACACCTACAGTGGACACAGGTACATCTAAAACAATGAAAAAAACATAGGCGAGAGCAAGGATTCTAGATCGAGACCGCAGTAAGGTAATGTAAGGCTGTAAGTTTGGGTGAAGATTATTTGCTAATGATTGAACATGACTTAGTTACAATGGACAAAAGTCACACAGTTGACACAGGTACATCTAAAACAGTGAAAAAAGACAACCAGTTACACAGGTGAGAGCAAGGATTCTAGATCGAGACCGCAGTGAAAGTTCAGGCGATGTTGAAATCGAAACTGATAGTGACCCAAACTCTCCTGATTTAGACCCTGATCCATCTTCATCTTCAGCATCAACCAGTGCGACTGACACTGCAGGGCTTTGGAGTCATAACACGGACCATTTCGTGCTCGTGAAAACAGTACCTGCTGGTCTGATTACCACCAGAAACTTGACTTTTGCGCGCTAAAATGCATTTATTTATTTATTTATTATGTACTTGAATTTATTCAAAGGCATTGACCACGCTGATGCTCGTAGTGGTACTTCTTAATGAGTATAAGGATTTTAGCGAGCATTTTTCGTCATTTCTCTAGTTAAGAAATGTGCTCTAAGTTTAGTAAAAAACTGAACTTGCGTCTTACTAGCCAATATTACACATATACATTATTATAAGTTGTTTCAAGGCCTAAAAATGCTCAAATTAAAATGTTGATTTTGGGGCCAATTTTGGCCCAAGAACTCAGGGTTGGTGTGCTGTTTCTATGGGGAATATAGGGTTGTGGGACATAATACTGTGGGAATGTAGGTGTAAGAGGGTTAAGAGGTAGCATTTAGTCTGTATCAAGACTTTTGAGAGTCCCCAATAGTTGCTCAGACTGTGACCCCGAGTATTGCAGGTAGACTTACACCAGGATGGCCGAGCGGTTCCAATGGACAAAAGATCCAATGGATCCAATGGACTTACACCAGGATGGCCGAGCGGTTAAGGCGTTGGTCTCAAGATCCAATGGACAAAAGTCCTCGTGGGTTCAAACCCCACTCCTGGTAAAGCAAACTTTCATCTTAGTCATGTTTAATCATTAGCAAATAATCTACACCCAAACTTACAGCCATACATAGCAAGTATGACGCTTGTCCATTGCTAAATTGATGCACGCCAAGGAGAGCTGCTAAATATTTTGAAAGATAAAGGCCAACATATCTCAAGAGGTAGCATTTATTCTGTATCAAGACTCTTGAGAGTCAGCCGTAGTTGCTGTGACCGTGACCCCGATTATTCCTGTTGGCCATACATCGGGGTGGCCAAGTGGTTACGGCGTTGGACTAAAGTTCCAATGGACAAAAGTCCTCGTGGGTTCAAACCCCACTCCTGGTAAATGGGTAGCTTTTGAGAAGTTATGCCTAAACATAAGCAAATAATCTTCACCAAAACTTACTACCATGTCATGGCTAGCATAAAGAACATCCATATGTCCATTCCTTAATGGATTCAAGCCAAGAATGTACTTTGCAGTTTTTGACAGATAAAGGCCAGCATATCTCAAGAGGTAGCATTTATTCTGTATCGAGAGTCAGCAGAAGTTGCTGAGACTGTGACCCTCTGGTCTTCCATTTAGACCAACACCAGGATGGCCGAGTGGTTAAGGCGTTGGACGTAGGTTCCAATGGATTAAAGTCCTCGTGGGTTCAAACCCCACTCCTGGTAAATAAGAAGCATTAGCTGAGTAATGTTCAAACAACTGCAAATATTCTGTACCATACAAATATTCTGCATGTAAGTTGTGTTCAAATATTTGCAAAATCTCTTCTCCAAACCTTATAGGCATTTCACGGCAACCATATGACCATTCCTTAATGAATACAAGCCAAGAATGTACTGTGCAGTTTTTGACAGATAAAGGTGGACCTATCTTAACCCTCTTAACCCGTATGGCTTAAAAACCGGCTTGCCTGTCTTTGATCTATTCCCGTAAGGACACATACCGGCTTGGTCGTCTATGGCATCCCGTAAGGCAGACATAGTGGCTTTACAGTGTAACGTTATCCCGTAAAGCCGGTATACCGGCATTACTCTGCTATATTCCTTACTTATTTAATTATTATTTTTTGTCCGGAAGGTTGATGACGTCATGACGCACACGCGTGATTACGTTATTACGCCCCCATTGAGGAAGAAGATGATCCAAGCGTGAATGTTGGGGTAATAGTAGAAGTGAACTAAAAATGTGAAAAGCCAAACGCTAATCGTGTTCCAGCTAAAGTTACACCTACACGTGGACACAGGTACATCTAAAACAATGAAAAAAACATAGGCGAGACAAGAATTCTAGATCGAGACCGCAGTGAAAGTTCAGGCGATGTTGAAATCGAAACTGATAGTGACCCAAACTCTCCTGATTTAGACCCTGATCCGTCTTCATCTTCAGCATCAACCAGCGCGACTGACTGCAGGGTGCAGGCTTTTCGCAACGGGACCATTTCTGGCGCTTCGTGAAAACAGTACCTGCCTGGTCTGATTACCACCAGAAACTTGACTTTTGCGCGCTAAAATGCATTTATTTATTTATTTATTATGTACTTGAATTTATTCAAAGGCATTGACCACGCTGATGCTCGTATGGTACTTCTTAATGAGTATAAGGATTTTAGCGAGCATTTTCGTCTTTTCTCTAGTTAAGAAATGTGCTCTAAGTTTGGGAAAAACATAACTAGAAAAACAAAAAAGAGTCATTTTCTAATATTGTTACACATATACATTATTATAAGTTGTTTCAAGGCCTAAAAATGCTCAAATTAAATTTGTTTTGGGATTTATTAATTGGCCCAAGAACTCAGGGTTGGTGTGCTGTTTCTATGGGGAATATAGGGTTGTGGGACATAATACTGTCGGAATGTAGGTGTAAGAGGGTTAAGAGGTAGCATTTAGTCTGTATCAAGACTTTTGAGTCCCCAATAGTTGCTGAGACTGTGACCCCGAGTATTGCAGGTAGACTTACACCAGGATGGCCGAGCGGTTAAGGCGTTGGACTCAAGATCCAATGGACAAAAGTCCTCGTGGGTTCAAACCCCACTCCTGGTAAAGCAAACTTTCATCCTAGCCATGTTCAATCATTAGCAAATATCTTCACCCAAACTTACAGCCTTAGCAATGCATGTACGGCTGGTCCATTGCTAAATTGATGCACGCCAAGGAGAGCTGCTAAACCTTTGGAAAAGTAAAGCCACATATCTCTCAAGAGAAGAGATTTTGCAAATATTTGAACACAGCTTACATGCTAATGTAGCATTTATTCTGTATAAAAATGATTGGAGAGTGACTGTAGTGCGTGACCCTGAGTATTCACACGGGATGGCGGCGGAAGTGTTGCGGTGGGACTTAAGTTCCAATGGACAAAAGTCTTCGTGGGTTCAAACCCCACTCCTGGTAAATGGTTAGCTTTAGCAGAGTTATGCTTAAACATAAGCAAATAATCTTCACCAAAACTTACCACCATGTCATGGCTAGCAAAAAGAACATCCATATGTCCATTCCATAATGGGATTCAGGCCAGATGTATTGCTTTGCAGTTTTTGACAGAAAAAGGCCAGCACCTCTCAAGAGGTAGCATTTATTCTTTATCGAGAGTTAGCAGAAGTTGCTGAGACTGTGACCCTCTGGTCTTCCATTTAGACAAACAGCAGGATGGATGAGTGTTTAAGGCGTTGGACGTAGGTTCCAATGGATTAAAGTCCTCGTGGGTTCAAACCCCACTCCTGGTAAATAAGAAGCATTAGCTGAGTAATGTTTAAACAACTGTGAATATTCTGAACCAAACCTTACAGGCATGTAAGTCTGTGTTCAAATATTTGCAAAATCTCTTCTCCAAACCTTATAGGCATGTCATGGCAACCATAATGCACACCCATATGACCATTCCTTAATGAATACAAGCCAAGAATGTACTGTGCAGTTTTTGACAGATAATGGCTGACCTATCATAACCCTCTTACCCCATATGTCCGGAAAAACCGGTTTGCCTGTCTTTGATCTATTCCCGTAAGGACGACATACCGGCTTGGTCGTCTATGGCAAATCCCGTAAGGCAGACATAGTGGCTTTACGGGAAGCGTTATCCCGTAGCGAAGCGTATACCGGCATGTACTCTGCTATGATTCCTTACTTATTTAATTATTATTTTTTGTCCAGAAGGTTGATGACGTCATGACGTTCACGACGCGTGATTACGTTATTACCGTCATTACGATGAAGATGATCCGCGTGAATATTGAGGTAATAGTAGAAGTGAACTAAAAATGCCAAAACGAAAAGCTAATCGTGTTCCCGCTAAAGTTACACCTACAGTGGACACAGGTACATCTAAAACAATGAAAAAAACATGAGGCGAGAGCAAGGATTCTAGATCGAGCGCATGTAATTAATGGCTGTAAGTTTGGGTGAAGATTATTTGCTAATGATTGAACATGACTTAGTTACAATGGACAAAAGTCACACAGTTGACACAGGTACATCTAAAACAGTGAAAAAAAGCAAACCAGTTACACAGGTGAGAGCAAGGGATTCTAGATCGAGACCGCAGTGAAAGTTCAGGCGATGTTGAAATCGAAACTGATAGTGACCCAAACTCTCCTGATTTAGACCCTGATCCATCTTCATCTTCAGCATCAACCAGTGCGACTGACACTGCAGGGCTTTGGAGTCACAACGGAACCATTTCTGGCGCTTCGTGAAAACAGTACCTGCTGGTCTGATTACCACCAGAAACTTGACTTTTGGCGCTAAAATGCATTTATTTATTTATTTATTATGTACTTGAATTTATTCAAAGGCATTGACCACGCTGATGCTCGTATGGTACTTCTTAATGAGTATAAGGATTTGGGCGAGCGATTTTTGTTCATTTCTCTAGTTAAGAAATGTGCTCTAAGTTTAGTAAAAACACTGAACTTGCGTCATTTTCTAAGCAATATTATACATATACATTATTATAAGTTGTTTCAAGGCCTAAAATGCTCAAATTAAATATGTTGATTTTGGGGCCAATTTTGGCCCAAGAACTCAGGGTTGGTGTGCTGTTTCTATGGGGAATATAGGGTTGTGGGACATAATACTGTGGGAATGTAGGTGTAAGAGGGTTAAGAGGTAGCATTTAGTCTGTATCAAGACTTTTGAGAGTCCCCAATAGTTGCTCAGACTGTGACCCCCAGTATTGCAGGTAGACTTACACCAGGATGGCCGAGCGGTTCCAATGGACAAAAGATCCAATGGATCCAATGGACTTACACGAAGACACTGGCCGGCGGTTAAGGCGTTGGTCTCAAGATCCAATGGACAAAAGTCCTCGTGGTTCAAACCCCACTCCTGGTAAAGCAAACTTTCATCTTAGTCATGTTTAATCATTAGCAAATAATCTACACCCAAACTTACAGCCATACATAGCAAGTATGACGCTTTCCATTGCTAAATTGATCACGCCAAGGAGAGCTGCTAAATATTTTGAAAGATAAAGGCCAACATATCTCGAGGTAGCGTTTATTATTTATTCTGTATCAAGACTCTTGAGCGTCAGCCGTAGTTGCTGTGACCGTGACCCCGATTATTCCTGTTGGCCATACATCGGGGTGGCCAAGTGGTTACGGTGCGGCGTTGGACTAAAGTTCCAATGGACAAAAGTCCTCGGTGGTTCAAACCCCACTCCTGGTAAATGGGTAGCTTTTGAGAAGTTATGCCTAAACATAAGCAAATAATCTTCACCAAAACTTACTACCGTTATGGCTAGCATAAAGAACATCCATATGTCCATTCCTTAATGGATTCAAGCCAAGAATGTACTTTGCAGTTTTTGGACAGATAAAGGCCAGCATATCTCAAGAGGTAGCATTTATTCTGTATCGAGAGTCAGCAGAAGTTGCTGAGACTGTGACCCTCTGGTCTTCCATTTAGACCAACACCCGGATGGCGAGTGGTTAAGGCGTTGGACGGTAGGTTCCAATGGATTAAAGTCCTCGTGGGTTCAAACCCACTCCTGGTAAATAAGAAGCATTAGCTGAGTAATGTTCAAACAACTGCAAATATTCTGTACCATACAAATATTCTGCATGTAAGTTGTGTTCAAATAGTTTGCAAAATCTCTTCTCCAAACCTTATAGGCGCTTTCCACGGCAACCATATGACCATTCCTTAATGAATACAAGCCAAGAATGTACTGTGCAGTTTTTGACAGATAAAGGTGGACCTATCTTAACCCTCTTAACCCGTATGGCTTAAAAACCGGCTTGCCTGTCTTTGATCTATTCCCGTAAGGACGACATACACCCGGTTTGGTCGCTATGGCAAATCCCGTAAGGCAGACATAGTGGCGCTTTACAGTGTAACGTTATCCCGTAAAGCCGGTATACCGGCATTACTCTGCTATGATTCCTTACTTATTTATATTGTTATTTTTTCCGGAAGGTTGATGACGTCATGTCGTCACGACGTGATTACGTTATTACGCCGTACATGTACGATGAAATGATCCAAGCGTGAATGTTGGGGTAATAGTAGAAGTGAACTAAAAATGTGAAAACGAAAAGCTAATCGTGTTCCAGCTAAAGTTACACCTACAGTGGACACAGGTACATCTAAAACAATGAAAAAACATAGGCGAGAAAGGATTCTAGATCGAGACCGCAGTGAAAGTTCGGGCGATGTTGAAATCGAAACTGATAGTGACCCAAACTCTCCTGATTTAGACCCTTATCTGTCTCTCATCTTCAGCATCAACCAGTGCGACTGACACTGCAGGGCTTTGGAGTCACAACGGGACCATTTCTGTGCGCTTCGTGAAAACAGTACCTGCTGGTCTGATTACCACCAGAAACTTGACTTTCGGGCTAAAATGCATTTATTTATTTATTTATTTATTATGTACTTGAATTTATTCAAAGGCATTGACCACGCTGATGCTCGTATGGTACTTCTTAATGAGTATAAGGATTTGCGAGCGCGCATTTTCGTCATTTCTCTAGTTAAGAAATGTGCTCTAAGTTTAGTAAAAACACTGAACTTGCGCGTCATTTCACCACAATATTACACATATACATTATTATAAGTTGTTTCAAGGCCTAAAATGCTCAAATTAAAATGTTGATTTTGGGGCCAATTTTGGCCCAAGAACTCAGGGTTGGTGTGCTGTTTCTATGGGGAATATAGGGTTGTGGGACATAATACTGTCGGAATGTAGGTGTAAGAGGGTTAAGAGGTAGCATTTAGTCTGTATCAAGACTTTTGAGTCCCCAATAGTTGCTGAGACTGTGACCCCGAGTATTGCAGGTAGACTTACACCAGGATGGCCGAGCGGTTAAGCGTTGGACTCAAGATCCAATGGACAAAAGTCCTCGTGGGTTCAAACCCCACTCCTGGTAAAGCAAACTTTCATCTTAGCCACGTTCAATCATTAGCAAATAATCTTCACCCAAACTTACAGCCTTACATTGCAAGTATGCGCTTGCGTGTCCATTGCTAAATTGATGCACGCCAAGGAGAGCTGCTAAACCTTTTGAAAGATAAAGGCCAACATATCTAGAGGTAAGAGGTAGCATTTATTCTGTATCAAGACTCTTGAGAGTCGCTAGTGTTCTGTGACCGTGACCCGAGTTTTCCTGTTGGCCATACACCGGATGGGCCGAGTGGTTAAGGCGTTGGACTTAAGTTCCAATGGACAAAAGTCTTCGTGGGTTCAAACCTCACTCCTGGTAAATTGTTAGCTTTAGCGGAGTTATGCTTAAACATAAGCAAATAATCTTCACCAAAACTTACTACCATGTCATGGCTAGCATAAAGAACATCCATATGTCCATTCCTTAATGGATTCAAGCCAAGAATGTACTTTACAGTTTTGACAGAAAAAAGGCCAGCACCTCTCAAGAGGTAGCATTTATTCTGTATCGAGTGTTAGCAGTGTTGCTGAGACTGTGACCCTCGGGTCTTCCATTTTGACCAACACCAGGATGGATGAGTGTTTAAGGCGTTGGACGTAGGTTCCAATGGATTAAAGTCCTCGTGGGTTTCAAACCCCACTCCTGGTAAATAAGAAGCAATAGCTGAGTAATGTTTAAACAACTGTGAATATTCTGAACCAAACCTTACAGGCATGTAAGCTGTGTTCAAATATTTGCAAAATCTCTCTCTCAAACCTTATAGGCATGTTGTCGCGAGAACCATAATGCACACCCATATGACCATTCCTTAATGAATACAAGCCAAGAATGTACTGTGCAGTTTTTGACAGATAAAGGCTGACCTATCTTAACCCTCTTACCCCATATGCAGAAAACCGGCCCTGCTGTCTTTGATCTATTCCCGTAGGGACGACATACCGGCTTGGTCGTTCTATGGCAAATCCCGTAGGGCGGACATAGTGGCTTTACAGTGTAAACGTTATCCCCGTAAAGCCGGTATACCGGCATTACTCTGCTATGATTCCTTACTTATTTAATTATTTTTTTTTGTCCAGAAGGTTGATGACGTCATGACGTTCACGACGTGATTACGTGATACACCGTCATTACGATGAAGATGATCCAAGCGTGAATATTGGGGTAATAGTAGAAGTGAACTAAAAATGCCAAAACGAAAAGCTAATCGTGTTCCAGCTAAAGTTACACCTACAGTGGACACAGGTACATCTAAAACAATGAAAAAAATAGGTAGAGCAAGGATTCTAGATCGAGACCGCGAAAGTGTAATGTAAGGCTGTAAGTTTGGGTGAAGATTATTTGCTAATGATTGAACATGACTAAGTTACAATGGACAAAAGTCACACAGTTGACACAGGTACATCTAAAACAGTGAAAAAAAGACAACCAGTTACACAGGCGAGAGCAAGGATTCTAGATCGAGACCGCAGTGAAAGTTCAGGCGATGTTGAAACCGAAACTGATAGTGACCCAAACTCTCCTGATTCAGACCCTGATCCGTCTTCATCTTCAGCATCAACCCGTGCGACTGACACTGCAGGGCTTTGGAGTCACAACGGGACCATTTCTGTGCGCTCGTGAAAACAGTACCTGCTGGTCTGATTATCACCAGAAACTTGACTTTTGGCGCTAAAATGCATTTATTTATTTATTTATTTATTATGTACTTGAATTTATTCAAAGGCATTGACCACGCTGATGCTCGTATGGTACTTCTTAGAGTATAAGGATTTTAGCGAGCTTTTTTCGTCATTTCTCTAATTACGAATTGTGCTCTAAGTTTAGTAAAAACACTGAACTGCGTCATTTTCAAAGCAATATTACACATATACATTATATTAAGTTGTTTCAAGGCCTAAAAATGCTCAAATTAAAATGTTGATTTTGGAGCCAATTTTGGCCCAAGAACTCAGGATTGGCGTGCTGTTTCTATGGGGAATATAGGGTTGTGGGACATAATACTGTGGGAATGTAGGTGTAAGAGGTTTAAGAGGTAGCATTTAGTCTGTATCAAGACTTTTGAGAGTCCCCAATAGTTGCTGAGACTGTGACCCCGAGTATTGCAGGTAGACGTGCACCAGGATGGCCAAGCGGTTAAGACGTTGGACTCAAGATCCAATGGACAAAAGTTCTTGAGGGTTCTGCCAACAAACTTTCATCTTTGTCCTGTCTAAACATTAGCAAATAATCTTCTCCAAAACTTACAGGCAAGTATAATGCATACCGTTCATCATTGCAAGTATATTGCACACTGATTTGTCCATTGCTTAATGGATGCACACCAAGGAGAGTTGCTTGTTGCAAAGTTTTTGACAGATAAAGGCCAACATATCTCAAGAGGTAGCATTTATTCTGTATCAAGAATTTTGAGACGCTTGGTCGTCTTGGAGTCTTGGAGGCTTGGAGTCCCCAATAGTTGCTGAGATTTTGACCCCTAGTATTCCTGGTAGACATTCATCAGAATGGCCGTGCGGTTAAGGTCTTGGACACAAGATCCAATGGACAAAAGTCTTCGTGGGTCCAAACCCCACTCCTGTTATATTGGAATCCTGGAACATGGCAAGCATGAAGAACATCCATTCCTTAATGGAATCAAGCCAAGAATATACTGTGCCATTGACAGATAAAGGCCAACATTCCTTAAAAGGTAGGATTTATTCTGTATCAAGTCTTTCAAGAGTTGCCAATTGTTGCCGAGACTGTGACCACTAGTCTTCCCAGTAGATGTACATCAGGATGGCCAAGTTGGACTTGATCCAATGGACAAAAGTCCTCCAGGGTTCACACCCTACTCCTGCTAAAAGAAACCTTTAACTGAGTTGTGTTTAAACACTAGCAAATATTCCTCAACAAATCTTACAGGCCTTGAAATTTAATGGATCTGGGGAGATTCTGTATGGAAGAAAGTTCTCAGATCCCTTGCCATGTATTTTCCAACCTTATCAGGCATTATAGGAGAAGACTCAGAGCTGTTATCTTGGTAAAAAGTGGTAGCACAAAGTATTGAATAAAAGGGTGCCAATAATTGTTGCACACCTATATTTAACAAAGATATTGTTTTGGATAAGCCCATGTTGTGTTTGCAATTGTTTGATATCCATGAGAGCAGAGTATTTTTGTGAATTTTTTTAGTAAAAGTTCGAAAGGTTAAACAATAAAAATATTTTTTTCTCCACAGACTTTTTGCTCAAACAGTATTTACCACAGGTGCCAATATTAGTGGAGGGCACTGTATATACACTGATCAGCCATTATATATGTTCATATGTTCATATTTGTTCATATGTTCACATCATAGGCAATAACATGAAAACCACCTATAACCACTTAATATTGTGTGTGTGTGTGTGTGTGTGTGTGTGTGTGTGTGTACGTACTCAGGTGAACCACCAAAAAAATAAATTTTTTGGAAAAGTTCATTTTTTTCTGTAATTTAATTCAAAAAGTGCAACTTTCATATATTCTGGATTCATTACAGATAACGTGAACTATCTCAAGCCTTTTTTGTTTTAATCTTGATGACTATAGCTTACAGCTCACGGAAATAAAAAAAAATCCAGTATTCCAAAATATTAGAATAAAAAATTTATTATACAGAAATGTTCATTCTTGCACTCGATACTTGGTCGGGGCTTTAATCCTTTTGCATGAATTACTGCATCAATGCGGCGTGGCATGGAGACAATCGACCTGGGCACTGCTGAGGTGTTCTGGAAGCCCAGATAGCTTTGATTGTGGCCTTCAGCTCATCTGAATTATTCGATCTGGTGTCTCTCATAGATTCTCTCTGCGGTTCAGGTCAGGCAAGTTGGCTGGCCAGTCAAGCACAGTAATACCATGGTCAGTAAACCAGTTACTAATAGTTTTGGTACTGTGGGGAGGTGCCAAGTCCTGCTGGAGAAGGAAATCAGCATCTCCATAAAGCTTGTCAGCAGATGGAAGCATGAAGTGCTCTAAAATCTCCTGGTAGACGCTGCATCGACTCTCGACTTGGGAAAACACACTGGACCGAAACCAGCAGATGACACGGCACCCCAAATCATCACTGACTGTGGAAACTTCACTCTGGATTTCAAGCAACTTGGATTCTGTGTCTCTCCACTCTTCCTCCAGACTCTGGGACCTTGATTTCCAAATGAAATGCAACAATCATCTTCCCTGATTGTGGTCGTGTATACTGAACCAGACTGAGAGATTAAAGGCTCAGGAAACCTTTGCAGGTGTTCTGAGTTAATTCGCTGATAAGAGTTTTCCTCAGGTCGACATTTCTGTATTATAAATTCTTTATTCTAATATTTTGAGATACTGGATTTTTGCTGTAAGCCATAATCATCAAGATTAAAATTTGTGGGTTTTTTTGTTTTTTTTTACATTTTTTTTTTTTTTTTTTGCTTGAAATAGTTAACTTTATGTGTAGTTAATCTAGGATTTCCACTTTAAAAAAAATGAAATTATGGGGGGGATAACGAACATTTTCATGATATTATATATATATATATATATATATATATATATATATATATATATATATATAGATATAGATATAGATATAGATATAGATATATATATATATATATATATATATATATAGATATATATATATATATATATATATATATATATATATATATATATATATATATATATATATATATATATATATATATATATATATATAGAGAGAGAGAGAGAGAGAGAGAGAGAGAGATTTGCCACTCCTCCCTTCAAACTATGTGCAGTGTAAAGTTGCTGGAACATACCACCGTTTCTTTGTGGGGTGAACACTGTCTTGAACAACTTTCGCATTCTGCCAAAATTTCGCTTTCTTTTGCTCATTACCCCATAACCAAACAGTCAAAACATTTCGTCATACATAGGCTTTGTTTAAATAAATATAAACGACGTGATCTTACAACAGTTTAAGTTAGCCAATTTGTAGATTCCCCTCTTTCGTGTATAAGTTCAGCGCGCCGTAGAGAGCAAGCTCTTTTCCGAACAAACTGTGCTGCGGAGCGTTCACTCAGACTTCAGCCACACAGAAACGATCAAAGTAAGTGGAATAAACTGTTTTTATAGCGCTGGGCCTAAGGCGGTGTTTTTATTTTTATTTTATTTTTATTTTTAAAAAAGCTAAAACGTCGTTTAGAACGTGCTCCCGGAAATGTGGAAGTATTTTGGGGTTGGTTTTATGGCCACGTGGCTGAGACTGAAATGGCTTGAAGCTGTCAGGAAGTTAGTCTATCTATAGCTGTGTACACCAGAGCCGAGCACATCAACTCCAACCTGACACTAACTTACACCCAGTTACGCTTACTTACAGTTAGTTACGCTTATTTACACCCAGTTACGCTTATTTACAGTTAGTTACGCTTACTTACACCCAATTACGCGTCCGTACACCCAGTTACGCTTACTTACAGTTAGTTACGCTTACTTACACCCAGGTACGCTTACTTACACCCAGTTACGCTTACTTACAGTTAGTTACGCTTACTTACAGTTAGTTACGCTTACTTACAGTTAGTTACGCTTACTTACACCCAGGTACGCTTACTTACACCCAGGTACGCTTACTTACAGTTAGTTACGCTTACTTACAGTTAGTTACGCTTACTTACAGTTAGTTACGCTTACTTACAGTTAGTTACGCTTACTTACACCCAGGTACGCTTACTTACAGTTAGTTACGCTTACTTACACCTAGTTACGCTTACTTACACCCAGGTACGCTTACTTACAGTTAGTTAACGCACAGGTAGTTACGCTTACACCCATGCGGCTTACTTACACCCAGGTACGACTTACTTACAGTTAGTTACGCTTACTTACAGTTAGTTACGCTTACTTACAGTTAGTTACGCTTACTTACAGTTAGTTACGCTTACTTACAGTTAGTTACGCTTACTTACACCCAGTTACGCTTACTTACAGTTAGTTACGCTTACTTACAGTTAGTTACGCTTACTTACACCCAGGTACGCTTACTTACACCCAGTTACGCTTACTTACAGTTAGTTACGCTTACTTACAGTTAGTTACGCTTACTTACAGTTAGTTACGCTTACTTACCCAGGTACGCTTACTTACAGTTAGTTACGCTTACTTACAGTTAGTTAACGCACAGTTAGTTACGCTACACCCAGTTACACCTTACACCCCGTTACACTCACCCAGATGCGGCTTACTTACCCCAGGACACTACTTACCCCAGTTACGGCTTACTTACAGTTAGTTACGCTTTACTTACACCCAGTGCGCTTACTTACAGGTACGCTACTTACGATTAGTTACCACTTTTACCCAGGTGCGACTTACTTACACCCAGGTAAACACTTATTACAGTGCGGCTTACTTACAGTTGATTTACTACACTTGGTTAAACACTTACCCAGTTACGGCTTACCCACAGTTGGTTCCGCACTTACAGTTAGTTACGGCTTACTTACAGTTAGTTACGCTTACTTACACCCAGATGCGGCTTACTTACAGTTAGTTACGCTTACTTACAGTTAGTTGCGCCTACTTACACCCAGTTACGCTTGCTTGAGTTGATTACGACTTACTTACAGTTAGTTACGCTTACTTACACGTTAAACCACTTACACCCAGGTACGCTTACTTACACCCAGATACGCTTACTTACAGTTAGTTCACGTACTTACAGTTAGTTACGCACTTACACCCAGGTACCGCTTACTTACACCAGGTACGCTACACCAGGTACGCTTACTTACACCCAGGTACGCTTACTTACAGTTGGTGCGACTCTACAGTTAGTTACGCTTACTTACCCCCAGGTACGCTTACTTACACCCAGATACGGCTTACTTACAGTTAGTTACGCTTACTTACAGTTAGTTACGCCTTATTAGTTAAGCACTTACACCCAGTTACGCTTACTTACACCCAGGACCTTACTTACACCCAGGTAGCTTGCACACCAGTTACGCTTACTTACAGTTGGTTAGGCTTGCCACCCAGGTACGCTTACTTACACCAGGTATTACTTACAGTTAGTTACGCTTACTTACACCCAGGTACGCTTACTTACACCTAGTTACGCTTACTTACACCCAGTTAGGCTTACTTACGTTAGTTACTACTTACACAGGTACACTTACACCCAGTACGTTACATTAGTTACGCACGCACGCAGTGCGGCTTACTTACCCAGGTACGCGACTTACACCCAGGTACGCTTACTTACAGTTAGTTACGCTTACTTACAGTTAGTTACGCTTACTTACAGTTAGTTACGCACTTACACAGTTACTACCGATTAGTTAAACGCTACAGTTGGTTCACTACTTACCCAGGTACGCTTACTTACAGTTAGTTACGCTTACTTACAGTTAGTTACGCTTACTTACACCCAGTTACGCTTACTTACAGTTAGTTACGACATACGTAAACACTTCACCCATACGCTTACTTACACCCAGGTACGGCTTACTTACCCAGTTACGGCTTACTTACAGTTAGTTACGACACTTACACCAGGTACGCTTACTTACACGGTACGGCTTACTTACAGTTAGT